TCACAAATGGTGATTAAGTAATAAATGACAGAGAAACAACCAACAGTGAAAATTTATAAGTATACTGTATAAGTTTTATTAAATTGCACTTCAATAAAATAACTCATTAAAAGTTTTTTCTTCATAAGCATCCGAGCATTATTCATTGAGTGTTTATGCTGGTGTTTGCATGGTGGCTGCCAAAATTGTATCTGGATTATAAAATTTCGCAACCGGATTCCACTGCGGATTTGGCCCTCTCAAAACGAAAATTTTATCGTTATTATAATCTCTAAATATATGCATATTGTGAGTTAAACAATACAAATTACTCCCCAAACTGCAATGACAAAACTAATGCATTATATCAATATCAGTTGATGGAAAGTTAATATGATGTAACGAATTGCCTGCCACTAGATTCTTGAAAGTACAATAAACGAGTGCCTGGAAATATTAACTTTTTGAAAATTCTAAGTTTTGCAACGATAAAACTCTAAACTCTTTTCAGATCGAGTAAACACAAGTTTTAATTTTTTATGGTTACACAGATCAGATAGACACTTAAATTAAGACAACGAAGTACAATAGAAGTGAAAAAGGAAAACGTGTGAAGAGATTGTAAAAAGAGAAAAGAAAAATCGCTCTAAGCCACATACGTAAGGTTAATTCTGTCTACGATTAATTAATATTGTCGTGCAGTATTTTAGGCTGCAAGGCCATAGAACTAAAAGAAAACGTGGATTTTAGAGTACACCAATAAGTGCTGCAGCTAAAAATAGGCTAGATAGAGCACAGTATAAGGCTAAATATTAAACTAATGCTTAAACACTAGTACTATAGAATTAACAGAAACTAAGCTATCAGGTACTGTAAGAAGCAAAATCAAGTGACAAAATAAAGATATATATATTTACTATGGCATTATTTACAACTATATCCAAAAAATGGAACGCTCAAATGTTTCGTAAATAGTCCTTTACACGCAGAAAAAAGTCATAGACACGTTCATTAATAAGAGAATAGAGATTAGACGAGAGCTTACCGATCCTGGGTATGAAAAATTGAAATACGAGTTTCCATCCAAGTAGACAATAATATAATTCGGTGTCTTTAAAACCAGTAAAAATTTTCTTTCTTTTAACCAGAAACTTATACGCAATATATATAATAAAAATAATAGCAAGTATCTTCCACATGTAATTACTGGCGAGAATTTCGATAAGTATTCCCATACTTATTCTGACGCTCTCTGAATACTATAGAAATTAATTTTATTCGAATATGTACTTTAAATTCGTTACTCGTAAATGCCTAAATAAATGGAAAACTAGTTTTATAAACTTTATAAACTGAATTACTTCGCTCAATGTATACATGAAGTGACGTATATCAGTAGACGTACTATTTCCTTATTGTAACAGTTTTGATTTTTTCGTATTATTTCTAAATTCGACCTTGACGTTTCGTATCACGAAATTCAATAGTAAGTATTATCTCTTTATATAAATGGGCTCTCATGCTATTTAGTTTTCGTGGATAGGTCAAGAATATCAGGATATAGAGTGTCATGTGTGGTCACTTTAAACAATTTTACTAGAGATTGTATTTACCTTTTGTAAATCTTTATCCCAACGTGAGATATTAAACGAAATAAAGACTTTGACAGACAGACAGACACACACACACACAATATACATCCACGGAATTTTTCAAAAAACTCGAGACTTTAACATTCTCCCTTATTATATAAACATAACAAATGAATAAATGTGTATGTAGCCAAAAAGACGTCAGTGTTTAAAAGTTGTCCTCTTGTCTATACGCTACATTCCACGAGGAAAAAAGCATACTTTATTTTATTAAACTTGTTCTTTTGTTAAATCTTTTGCTAAGCATTAGTTTAGTTTCAATTTTTAGAAACAACAAGTTCGTCTTTCTAAATGTATATAATGTTTGCATCTGTGACAAAGGACAACTTTATTTCTGTATAATAATCTCCGATTTTATGTACGTAATTTGATTTTTACTGTAAAATGCGCAGGAATATATTCAATGTTAACAAAAAACAAACTTTAAAATTTAAAATATTATTAAAAAACAGTTTTCCATGATTTTTTGTAGAAACTGTAAACTTGCACATTTGTTATTTATGTTTCCGAAACAGCGTTTTTACTTTTAAGGGTGTTATAATAATACAGAGTAAGTATTGAAATTAGTCAAGAAATGAACCCACCCAAGATTCTTATATATTTAAATTCGGGTGACTTTCAATTCACCTAGTTTGAAATTGAATAATTACTGTTCTTTTGTGGTGAAATTTTTTTAAAATATTGTAGGGAGGGTTGATATTCTCCTTTAAACACATACTAACAATTCATACATACAGAAAAAAACGGAAAAAAATCTTTAAAATTGTTTAGGTTTTATTGGTTCGTGTTTTAAAGTATAAAAAGGAAACGGGGTGACTTTTCTACCGATTATGAAAATCGGTAGAAAAGTCTTCGGTCTTTTGCAGATAACAGCCAGTGAAGTAAAACTACTAATTCTTAACCTTCCTTGTTTATTTTCCTAAACGATTAAAAATAAAATACAGTGTTTCGTATTTTGTTCTGTATTCCTGGAGAATGTTATAAAGAAATTCTATATATCGAATAAAAAATATTACAAATTTAATTTAGTTTATTAACTCTAATTTTTATATACAAAATACAATTAAAATTATTCATTATATTTTGTCATTACATTTAAATGAGTTGTACATAAATAGTTTATATTAGTATTTTACGCAATACTTAAATAACGAGAAAAATTTTTAAATAAGGCATAACGACTTTACTAGCAAATAAATAGACTTAATTTGTTAGATAAATCATAAATTTTTATGACAAAAATTTTAACAGAATTTTACGTCAATAAGGAAGTATAGAGGCAGCAATTACACAGAATATATCATACATTTTTATAGTCTATTCAAGCGTAAATAACAAGTTTTCTGTCACGTGACTTCCAATAGAAATTTTCGGAGAAAACGACCAGATTTTTATCTTAAAACAGGTAAATTACGTACATTTACTCAAGTGAGACCACGACTGAAATTAATTTCTAAACACGTCAAATTTAACAGAGAAGTTAGTTCCATACTGCATAACTCTTTTAGATTTTCGTAACCGAATCTATATTCGTAGTTTCAAAATTATATTTGATTTTAAAATATAATTTCATTTATACCGAAATTCTGCATGAACAATAAATTATGTGAATAATTACTGTTGCATTGAAACGTATGCAATCTATTCTATTGTTTGAAATCCGAAATTTTTTCCGATTTCTTTTTTCGATTAATGTCACGTATTTTCCTAAAACTTCAATTAAATTTTTATTTAAACCTAAGCTAACTTGAAAAGGGGAAAAACTCTAATTTCCTCTTTCGTTCAAAGTAAACATCTGTCCACTACGAAAATAATCTCACATTCCAACTTCAAAGTTGATAGTTAGCATGTTACCGGGGACAACTTTGACCCTTCGCTTACCTTTTACCTCACAACAATTAATGATATGACCATTCTCCCACGACGAAACTATAAAAGCCACTTGCTTTCCCCTCTCGGGGGAGTCGTTTATCAACTAGCTAGTGTCCGTCACCTACTGTTTTTTAATATTGTGTCCTGGTCCTACCGTTTCTGGACCTGTTGGATGATATAAAATTCTCCTTAAGGATGACTACAACCATAAAGAGGTATAGAACAAAATTTTGTGAACTCTCTTTCGGTCTCTTTGCGCCTTAGGGACTTAGAAAGTGTCCTCTAAACTAGCTATTGTACGCCCCGCATATAGAAGTAATAAATTGTTGTTCCTTTGTAAAAAATCTGTTTCCTCGTTTACTCGTATATCGTCTATCATTTTATTGACGGCACTCATCCTTTCTGCACTCGACCCGAACAAGTAAATCCCGTCAACGCGGGATAAATAAAAACTTTTTGCCATTTTGACAGTGAGAAGGTTTAACGACCTGTGGCCGGAAAGGAAGACTTTCATTCTCCCTGGCAGTTCACAATAGCAACAAGTGTTTAATCATATTAAATTATTATACCTGAATATCCTATTTATGGCCTTTTAATTTATAATAATTGTAGCTTCATTTTGAGTATCTGACTCAGAACGATTGCACAAACATTGCAAATTAAAAATATAATTCCTATATAAAATTACAAGCTGGTTTTGTTTGAGGTTTAGGTTTATCGTTATGAAAAATGTAATTACAGTTAAAATAATAATCGCTTATTGCTTGAGTGAATACACAAACAATAGAAAGTGAATAGCGCAGTAAATATAAATATATCACGCTTGCCCACATAAATAATTTTAGATATCATGTCAAAGTAAAAAAAATATATATATATATATTTTTATAAAATATATATA